TGAATGTAGTACATTACTAAGGCCAAGACTGACTTCGTTAATGCCCTCCACTCACAGACCACCAGGACCACACCCGTCATCAGAGAGGATCGCACTGGATCAGGATGTCAGATGAACACAACTCATGGAGGGCGGAGGTGTCGGTGTGAGGGACACACTATGACATGTACTGCACGAGAACGTGTTCTGACATGACGTTTGCAGACATGTGATGGATGATGGGAGCCTGTGGGACATTCTCCTTTACTCTGGGGTAGATGTCATCTAATCCAGATGCCATTAGGAGGTAGATGTAAATTTATAATTGAAAAATCTTCAGAGTTCTTACCTATTTTTATTTTTGGTTTTTGAAAATGTTTATTTAGGGGCGCCTGGGTGGCTCAGTCAGTTGGACTTTGGCTCAGGTCATGATCTCACAGGTCGTGGGTTTGAGCCCCGCATCGGGCTCTGCGCTGACAGCTCAGAGCCTGGAGCCTGCTTTGGATTCTGTGTCTCCCCCTCTCTCTAACCCTCCCCTGTTCATGCTGTGTGTCTGTGTCTCTCTCTCAGAAATAAATTTTTTTAAAAAATTAAAAAAAAAGAAAGAAAGTGTTTATTTATTGGGGCCCCTGGGTGGTTCAGTCGGTTTAGCATCCCACTTTGTTGGCTCAGGTCATCATCTCGCAGTTCTCGAATTTGAGCCCCACATGGGGCTCTCTGCTGTCAATAAGGAGTCTACTTCCAATTCTCTGTCACCACGTCTCTCTCTGCCCCTCCCTTGCTTGCCCTCTCTGAAAAAGAAATAAATAATAAAATAAAATGTTCGAGAGAGAAAAAGAAAGAGCAGGGGAGGAGAGAAAGGGAGAGAGAGAATCCCAAGCAGCCTATGCGCTGTCAGCAAAGAGCCCAACATGGGGCTCGATCTCATGAACCGTGACATCATGACCTCATCCAAAATCAAGGCCAGACGCTGAACTGACTGAACCACCCAGGCACCCGCACAATTCTTATCTAGAAAAAAGAATGTGGTGCAACTAAACCTATGAATAAAGAGGCACCGTGCTCATCAGCAAGAAACAGGGAATATTTGGTGATTTTTATGGACTGGACTCTATTTTTTTTTTTAATATTTTTATTTATTTCTAGGAGAGAGAGAGAGACAGCGTGAGCAGGGGAGGGTCAGAGAGAGAGGGAGATACAGACTCTGAAATAGGCTCCAGGCTCTGAGCTGGCAGCCAGCACAGAGCCCGACGCGGGGCTCGAACCCACAAACCGCGAGATCATGACCCAAGCGAAAGTCGGACGCTTAACCGACTAAGCCACCCAGGCGCCCCGGACTGGACTCTATTTTTAAGCCTCTTTACAGAGATGACCGTAACATGGTCTTCGTGTGACCTGACGCATCACAGACAAGGAAGTGTTTCGTCTGAGGACAGGTGGGTGAAATGGTTTCTACTCAACAAGAGAATGTCAGGGGCGCCTGGGTGGCTTAGTCGGTTAAGCGGCCGACTTTCGCTTAGGTCATGATCTCGCGGTTCGTGGGTTCGAGCCCCGTGTCGGGCTCTGTGCTGACTGCCAGCTCAGAGCCTGGAGCCTGTTTCAGTCTGTGACTCCCTCTCTCTCTCCTAGAAATAAATAAAACATTAAAAAAAAAAAAAGAAAAAAAGAAAACGATAAAAAAACAAGAGAATGTCACAGCCCAGTACTGAGCGTCGGGCCAGCCTACACTGCCTTGGGCGATGACTACCATTCTCATGGACTGTGTGAACACTGACATGCTGCCTACTCATATCCGGCTTTGTGTCAAAGGTCTTCCATAAAGGAATTCCGTCAACATATATAAATTCAATTTCCCCTCAGCAAACTCTGTAAGAGGAGATTTTTCATCTCCTTGTCTGAGTTTCCTGAGGCCTACAAACGCAGGTGACTTTCCAGAAGACACCACAAGAAAGGAAGCAGCTCAGGATCACAACTGAAATTGAGCCTTCTTTCCCAGATTCTGTACTGTCAGGTGATAAATACTGAGCCTCCCTCGTGGGCCACCCCGTTGGCTCAAAGCACACAATTCCATTCCATGCTGATCCAGCACTGCCGGCACTTGCCCACGCGGCCTTGCGCTCACTGCTGCCCACCCTCCTGCTGTGCTTGCTCCCTTGGTGCTCCCCGGGGTCACCCCCTCTTTGCATGCACTGACTGTCCTAGGGTGTGATCATAAAGTATGATTTTCCTGGGACTTTTGTGCCCCTGGGTTGGCCACACCAACTGGCTGGCCACTAAAGGCACGAAGAACACGTGCAGAGTCGCAGCCTACAGACAGACACGAGTGGGCATCCCAGCAAAGCTGCTCACTCTGAATCTGAAGAGCACTGCCAAGAACTACAGCTTCACGAGGAAAACTGCCAATGGGTACGTAGAAGGGCTAACAACCTATAAGCCCGTGTGACAATGGATGACATGGGTCTGCTAAGAAAAAGAGAGTTTCGGGGCGCCTGGGTGGCTTCGTCGGTTAAGCGTCCGACTTTCGCTTAGGCCATGATCTCGCGGTTCGTGGGTTCGAGCCCCGCGTCGGGCTCTGTGCTGACTGCCAGCTCAGAGCCTGGAGCCTGTTTCAGAGTCTGTGTCTCCCTCTCCCTGACCCTCCCCTGCTCATGCTGTCTCTCTCTCTCTCTCCTAGAAATAAAAATAAAAATATTTAAAAAAAAAAAAGAAAAGAAAAAGAGAGTTCCATGGAAAAGGTCAAGCATGGACTCTTTTCCACCGCTGATGAAACAGAAACGTGGCTGTGGCCCACACCTTCCATGCTGTTCCAGCTCAGCGAAGCTGTATCTGAGCCTTATTAGTGTGTGGTATCCACGTGACCCGTGGTCATATTGATTGGTAAGCTGAGGACAGTAGAGACGAAAGCCCATTCCGAGAGGGGTTGAAATGACTAGACATAAGCATTCCTCTCCGCAAGGACTGTACAGATATCTTGATTTTCCATTTAAACTACCACATTGAACATTTCCTTTACCGTTTCTTTCCCCGGGTCCCCGTGGGACCGTTCCCCTCTGCACGTCATCTCAGACACGGAAACTGATCTGTGTCAAATGAGGGAGGAGCAACAGAAGCATGTGGTCTGAAGGAAAAGGGAAAGGCCGGACCCACTTTTTCACCACTGGAAATAAGGAGACCCCACTGGGGGAGGCATTACCAATCAATTACCCACCCGTCACGGGAAGAAACGTCCTGTTCAGCACAATTCAATACAATTTCTAGCAGGGAGAAGGACAGGTTTCCATGCTAGTATCGATTTTCAGGTAAACATCTAAGAGCTATTTGGAAAACACACATTGGGAAGATGCATTTCCAGAAATTAGTAGTTTCCTCAAAGCAGTGATGCCTGAAGCCGTGTAAGAACTCATTCCCACCACCACTGAGACTCACCTCTCCAACACTATTTGTTCTGGATGTTCACAGACAAGTGGCAAGATGCGTGTCTGGCTCCCCCTCCTACAATCCTGAGCAGGACAGTCACGGCCCAGCTGAAGAGACCATCACAGCTCTGCCATTGCGAGATGGTCGTAGACCAGCCAATGAGAAGGCACCATCTTCAAATCCCCAGTTTGTCTCAATGCACTTTTTTCTTTACAAAAACCCACCCCAATTCTCCCTGTTCCCTGTCAAAGAGCATCTTCTCTTTTCTTCTCTGAACTTGCCCATGGTTTTGCCATTTCTTGCATGTCCGGATTTGCAGTTCTTGCTGTTCCCAAGAAACCCATTTTTGCTTGTAAAGTAACACTTAAAGTTAACCTCACTTGGTATCAGAAACTGTGCCCGTTAGAAGTAAGGTGGCCTCCAGTCCTACTCCTGTGTGGACTCAGGCTGTTCCTGCCTGGAACCGTGTGGGACTTTGGATCATGGCCTTTTGGGACCAGCCAGTTCACAGTGAAACAGTGGTTTTTAGGAATTTCTTTTTTGTTGTTCTAAAGAAAAAGTGAAGAAAGGAGATGCCAGTCATCCAATGCATTGAGAGAGGCCACATCTGGATCCAGACAAAACTCCTCAGGACTGCATATCGCTGACACATCTTTTGATGATCAGTGGCATTTTACATGTCACTCCTCTGAACAATGAATATTTTCCATAGTTTACTGATGGGTCTTTGAAAAAGGATGAAAGTGGTTACTATTAGCTTAGGTGGGCTATTGGAAGTCCTTTTTTATTAAATAACATTTTATTATTTTTAAAAATTACCTTGACAGCCAAGATGGGGATCAAACCCACAAATCTTTAAGAGCAAGAGTTGCACGCTCCACTGAGCCAGCCAGCCTGCAACACCTTGTAAAGGTACTACGGCAGCAAGACTTTCACTTTCACACCCAGCCCAGTAGGGTGAGTTACAAACCACTCCTTGGCCATCTACCTTAGCCACGGGCCAAACCAAAAACATTTAGCCCTATAGCTGATATGCATTTGGGGTACCTCAGGACTCTGGAATATTATGGAAACAATGAGGTGTTTTTACCTCCAATGGGGATAAAACTGAAGAGGTTCCTATGTCCAAAGTTCATCAGATGCTGAATTTTGGCCAGCTGATCTGGCTGATACTAGAGGTACTGGGCACTCCAGGTGTTACATCCTGGGGGCTGGAGGAAAGCACCTCATAGAGTGTTTCCCCCACAATCCCTGCTCACGGAAACAAACAGGCAAACCTGAGTCATGGTCCAAGGGGATGTTCTTTGAAGTCATAATTTGGCACAAAGTTGACCGACACCAAAAATTGGTCCCAGAAAAGAAACCAACATCGGAATTTTACCAACTGTTCAATAAAAAGAGAACTTGGGGCACCTGGGTGACTCAGTCCGTTACACATCTGACTCTTGACTTCCACTCAAGTCATGATCTTGCAGTTCGTGGTATCAGGCCCTGTATCAGGTTGCATTCGAACAGCATAGAGACTGCTTGGGATTCCCTCTGCCCTTCCCCCACTCGTTCTCTCAAAACAAGTAAATAAACTAAAAAAAAAAAAAAAAACAGAGAACTATATGAAAATATATCCTTTAATAATAAAGATTGAACAGAAGAGTAGCTATTGAATCAGGAAACTCCAGTAATGGCACCAGAGAACAGAACTTTCAACCATAGAAGTCTACATGTTGTGATCATATACTAGAGACATTTTGCAATGTGAAATTAAAGAAATCTTTTTCTATAATTATATAAAGTTGTACACACACTGCCACACACACACACACACACACACACCCTTCTCACTCCTGGGTCTGAGATACTAATGGAAAGGAGACACGCTGTACATAACAGTGTGATTACATGAAGTCTGAGATAACAACATCTAGGTTGTACAGATGTAGAAGAGAAAGAAGGCCACTTAAAACAATATGTTCATATCGGTGACATGAACTAGGAATTCATATACCTGGAGTCTCCATTAAGGAAGAGGCACTTTGAAAGACAAAGTCACATTCATTACAATGAAAAGATCTGTCCTGCCTAAATTTTTGTGAACAAAATACATCAAGTTCTATACCTGATGTTTTCCCAAAATGTTGTTTATTCAGGATCCAGTGTGTTGGCTCATGTTCTCAGTAAGACTCTGAGGGAAAATAAATGCCTTCCCACAGAGTGTCTGTGCTCACAGATTCCTGGATACCTGAAGGCTTTTCCATGTGTTTAAGTTCATAGGGCTTCACGTCACTGTGCTTTCACATGTGTCCTCGAAGGGAAGGACAACCAAAGGCTTTCCCACAGAGTGGACACTTATGAGGTTTCCCCAGTGTGTGTCCTCCTATGTACCTCAGGTGTGTGTGACCCCAGGAGGCCGTACTGCTTATTCACAGGGTTTCACTGCACTGTGCGTGGCCGAGTGCTGTTTGAAGTGTTCACGCTTCTGGAAAGTTTCTCCACACTCCTTACAATCATGGCGTCTCTTCCCAGTGTGTGTCCGCATATGTATTTCCAGGTGTGATGGACACTTGAGAGCCTTCCCACAGTGCTGACATTCATGGGGTCTCTTTCTAGTGTGTGTCCTCATGTGCACACACAGGTTTGCAGAAGAGGTGAAGGCTTTCTCACACCGCTGACATTTATAGGGTCTCCCCAGTGTGTGTTTGGACATGTATTCGCAGGCCTCTTTGATATCTGAAAGTTTTGCCACACTCCTCACATTCATAGGGTTTTGCTACATTGTGTGTGGTCATGTGACGTTGAAAAGGTCGATGCTTCCTGAAAGTTTCCCCACATTGCTTACATTCCAAGTGTCCGTCCCCCGAGTGTCTTCTCACAGTATGTAGTGCAAGGGTGTGGTGTCGAATGAAGGCTTTTCCACAGTGCAGACATTTATAGGGTCTCTCCCCGGTGTGTGTCCTCACATGAGCTTGCAGACTTGAGTTATATCTGAAGGTTTTCCCACACTCCCGACATTGATAGGGTCTCTCCCCCGTGTGTGTCCGCATATGTTCTCGCAGATTTCCAAGATATCTGAAGGCCTTCCCACACTGCTGACATTCAAAGGGTCTTTCCCCTGTGTGTGTCCGCATATGGATTCGCAGGTCTGTCTGATCCCGGAAGGCTCTGCCACACTCCTTACATTCCCAGGGTTTCACTGTACTGTGCATGCTCATGTGACGATTAAAATGTCCACGGTTCCAAAAAGACTTCCCACATTCCTTACATTCAAAGGGTCTCTCCGCTGTGTGTATTCTCATATGTCTTACAAGGGATCTGCGACCAGAGAAGGCTTTCCCACAGTGCTGACATTCACAGGGCTTCTCCCCAGTGTGTGTTACCATATGTGCCCGCAGGCTTGAGTTACACCTGAAGGCTTTCCCACACACGTCACACGCACGGACTCTCTTTCCACAGTCACCTTGCACATGACCCTGAAAGGAAGATGTGCAAGTGAAAGCTTTTCCACATTTCTTGCACTCCAGAGATTTTTTACCACTGAGTCTCTTTGATGTCTTAGATCGTCTCCTGGTGTCCTGACCTTCACGGGGTTTCTCTACAAGGTCTGCATCCACGTCAGGGCTGAGGCTCGCGACGGAGCTGCAGGCCGGACCACATTCCTCACCGGGACTAGGTTTGAGTCCTGGCTGGGATCTTCCTGGCTTCTCAAGGAAGGAACCATCTGCGAAGGCTTCTCTACACTTAGCACATTCACAGGATTTACCTCCAGTGGGACACCCCTCACGCACAGTAAGACTTGTAACCGGGTTCAGGGATCCTCCACATTGATCTCCTTCAAGACGTTCCCAGACACCTTCCACCAAAGGACTTCTGCTCAAAATAAGAAGGCACGTGGTTAGATAATTAGCAAGATCTCTTTATTAATGATTGATCTATTGATCTTTGTTAATCATTATTAGACTTCTTAATGAATGGGTATGTTTGTGGCACTGTCTGCATGCTTAACAAAATGGAACAGGCTTACTGGTCTGGCTGAGGACTCAGAGTCAACTTTCTGGGTTTCTCACATTTAGTTTTCCCTGACCATTGTTTTCAACTGATGTTTTTCAGATGATCAGTATCTAGGATGCATTTATAAAAACTTTGTCTTGTGAAAATTCTGACTACACAATAGTTGATCTAGGTTTACAGCTGTTCTTTAATTTCAGGTTAGTCTCACAACTGCCAACATCCCCCGTTCATCCCGTACAAATGTCACTCACCTCGAACGTCTTTCCTGGGTTTGCAGGTGATCTCCTCTGCTACAAAATATCTGGTTTCCTCCTAAAACAGAACAAAAATCTTTTCTTGTAAATATTCCTGTTTCGTCTTCCCTCAGTGGCTCATTCAGCAAAATTTTCCACTGAGGCCTTGATGTACTTGTTTTACCTTGACTTTGACAACCTGCAAGAATTGGTGGCATCATGGGGCACTTGGGTGGCTTAGTCGGTTAAGCATCCGACTTGCGCTTAGGTCATGATCTCACGGTTCGTGGGTTCGAGCCCCGCGTCAGGCTCTGTGCTGACTGCCAGCTCAGAGCCTGGAGCCTGTTTCAGTCTGTGACTCCCTCTCTCTCTGACCCTCCCCTGCTCACGCTGTCTCTCTCTCTCCTAGAAATAAATAAAAACATTAAAAAAAAAAAAAAAAGAATTGGTGGCATCATTTAATTTCTTGGGAATGGACTGATGTTTACAGATAAGAAATGCACCTTATTTCGACTTCTAGTCAGATACTGATCCCAAAATGTAAATGAGGTTCATCAGGAAGAATGGACATGTGACCACAGAAAAATTCTGGGGACCCTAGTGATTTGGGACTTTGCCATTAAGAAGTGTATGAAATGGCAGCCTCTTTCCTCAGCAATACTTCAAAATAGATGGAGACCAATGTGGAGATAAGTATCATCAGATTATCAGATATTAACTGGGCAAGATACATACATCCACACCCTACCTCTATAAGAGAAACACAAAAGGCTCAGTACGAGGGTGAGGATGGATGAAAAGTCCGGCAGGGAAGCAAGGTGAATGACAGACATCACACTTAAACAAAGGCTGACAGGTGTCCAAATGCCCTTCTCTCCTCCGGTGCCCCCAAGTGTCACTGGTCTGTTCTGAAGGCACAGAGGCCCTTGGTGAAGCCTTCCTGCACTGTCCCAGTTGCCAATGGGAGGTCAGGTGGTGTGTGTGGCTACTGACATGCCCCTGAAGAACTGCTCTGCAGGGGGGAGGATTTAAAGGGCAACAAGCAATCTGGAAGATGGACTCTTAGTCTTCAAGGTCATTGCTAATGGATAACTATGTTTTGCTTTATTTTGTTTTTGTTTTTATTTTTTTTAATGTTTTTATTTATTTCTGAGAGAGAGAGAGAGATAGCGGGAGCATGGGAGGGTCACAAGAGAGAGGGAGACACAGAATCTGAAGCAGCTCCAGGCTCTGAGCTAGCTGTCCACACAGAGCCTGATGCGGGGCCTGAACCCACAAACTGTGAGATCATGACCTGAGCCGAAGTCAGATGCTCAACTGACTGAGCCACCCAGGCGCCCCTGCTTTATTTTGTTTTGTTTTTAGTGGGAGTATATTGATCTATACTATTGTCAGTTGTACATCATAGTGATTGGACAATTATATACATTAAAAATGCTCACCATAATAAGTGTAATTACTGTCACTATACAAAACTACTACAAAATTATTGAGTATATTCTTTATGCTCTACTTTTCATTCCCATGACTTATTTATTAAGTGCAAACCTGTACTTCTGAGTCCCCTCCATCTATTTCACCTGTTCCTCCATCCCCTTCCAATCTCACTAACACCGTTTTATTCCCTATAGTTTTACTTTTTTTTTAAAAATAGTTTATTTTTGAGACAGAAAGACAGAGCATGAGCAGGGGAGGAGCAGAGAGAGAGGGAGACACAAAATCGAAACAGGGTCCAGAGTCTGAGCTGCCAGCACAGAACCTGATGCGGGGCTCGAACCCACAAACCGCAAGATCAAGACCTAAGCTGGAGTCAGACGCTTTACCGACTGAGCCACCCAGGCGCCCCTCTATAGTTTTAAGTCTATCCTTATCTTCTGCTGTTCATTCATTATGTTTTTTAGATTCCACATATAAGTAAAATATGGTGTTTGTCTTTCTGACTTATTTACTTGGAATAATACTCTCTAGGTCCATCCAAGCTGCCAAGCTGTCACAAATTGCAAGACTTTATCCATTTTATATTGCCGATTGATAGACCCTTGTATGTAGATACCACATCTTCCCTATCCATTCAGCTGTTGATGGACACCTGCATTGCTTCCATATCTTGAGTACAGTGACTAACGCCACAGTGAACGTGGGGGTGCACGTATCTTATTGTCCTGGCTTTTTCTTTGGTGAACTATCCAGAAGTGGAATTACGGACCACATGGTACTTGTGTTTAGTTTTTTGTGGGAGCTCCATACTGTTTTCCAATGTAGCTGAACCAATTTAAATCCCACCAACAATGATGAGTTTCCTTTCTCCACATCCTCACCAATACTTGTTATATCCTGTTTTTTGAAGGTAGCCATTCTGGCTGCTTTAAGGTGACAGCTCATTGTGGTTTTGATTTTCATTTCTCTGAGGATAAATGAGCAGCTTTTCACGTGCCAAGTGGCCAACTCTCTATCTTCTTTAGGAAAATGTCTTGTTATGTTCCTCATCCCATTTTTTATTTTCCCTTCTGTTTCCCTTACCTGAAGGGAGAATCCCACAAAAATATTGCTAAGGCTGATGATGTCCAGGAGTTTATCACCTGTTTTGTCTGAAGAGGTGGGTGGGTTCAAGTCTTACACATGGGTGTCTAATCCATATTGAGTTTACTTTTGTGTGAAATCATGTAAGAAGGTGATCGAGCCTTACTTTTGCAGGTAGCTGTCTCATTTTCCTAACACTGTTTATTGAAGAGATGGTCTTTTTCCCCATTGTATATAATCAGCTCCTTTTTTGTGGATGATTTGAACATAGAAGTATGGGTTTTTCTGGCCTCTCTTCTGTTGTCTTGATCTATAGGTCTCTTTTTGTGCCAGGTACGATACTGTTTTGTTTCGCATAGTTTTGTAGTATACTTTGAAGTCTGGGGCTGTTGTATCTTCAGCTTTGGTATGCTTTCTTTCTCAGCATTGCTTTAGTTATTTGGAATCTTTACTGATTCAATAAAAATTTTAGAATTTTTGCTCTAGTTCTTTGAAAAATATTATTACTATGTCAATAGGGATTGCATCAAATATATAGAGTGTTTTTCATAGTATGGGCATTTTTAACAATATTAATCCTTACAATCCATGACAATGGTGTATTTTTCCACTTATTCTGCCATTTTCAATTTCATTCATTTAATATCTTATAGCTATCAGACTACAGGTCTTTCAACTTCATTGGGTACATTTATTCACTCTACTTTCTTGTTTTTGAAGGAACTGAACATGAGATTGTTTTCTTAATTCCTCTTTCTGCTATTTTGTTATTAGTTATAGAAAAACAACAAACTTGAGTATAATTAATTTTGTATCCTTCAATGGTTCTAAATTCACTCATTAGTTCTAACAGTATTTGGTCAAGTCTCAAGAATTTTCTATAAGTAGTTTCAATTCATCTGCAAATATTGCCTATATTTTCTTCTTCCTTAACAGTTTGCATATTTCTTAATCTTGTCTGACTAGTTTGGCTATGATTTCCAATACTATGTTGAATTAAAGTGGCAAGAGTGGACATCGTTTTTTGTTCCTGATCATAGAGGAAAACTTTTTGGCTCTTGACCACTAAGTAAGAGAACTATGGGTCCGTCATATGTGGCCTATGTTCTGTTGAGGTATATTCCTTGTATACACTTTCTGAGAATTTTTACGAGGAATGAAGGTTGAATTTTGTTGAAAGACGTTCTACATTTATGGAGATGATCACATGATTTTCCACAATTTATCTCATTAGTGTGGCATATCATATGCTGATTGATATACATATGTTAAATCCTTGCATCCTTGGAATAAATCTCACTTGATTGTGGTGAATGTTCCTTTGAATATATTTTGAATTCAGTTTGCTAATTTTGTTTAATATTTGGCATCTATGTTCATTAGTGATATTCTTGTGTAATTTATTTTCTCTTTGTAGTGACTTTGTCTGGTTTTGGTATCAAGGTAATACTAGACTTATGGAATAAACTTGGAAGTATTCTTTCCACCTCCATTTTTGGGAATAGTTCGAGTAGGATAGGTATTGACTCTTTATATATTTGGTAGAATGTACCTGTGAGGCCATCTGGTTGGTTCTGGATTTTTCCCAGAAGTTGTTTGATTAGGGGGAGCCTGGGTGGCTTAGTCGGTTAAGCGTCCGACTTTTGCTTAGGTCATGATCTCGCGGTTCGTGGGCTCGAGCCCCACATCAGGCTCTGTGCTGACAGCCAGCTCAGAGCCTGGAGCCTGTTTGTAGGAGCCTGACAGTGACCACAAGAGAGAATGGTTAAGGAAGCGGGAAAGTACCTGGAAAGAGGGCTCTCTGCTTGGGCAGAGCATGCTTGCAAACAGGATGTTCTGCCAAGAAGCCTGCACACAATATCCAAGGTTAATGATCCGCTCGCATACGAGGGAACATGCCCCCTTTAAGAATAAGGAGAAGGCTGGAGTTGTGGGCAGGCTTTTTAGTAAACATGTTGTGGTCACTTCCTCCCCTTGTTTCCCCCTCCTTGGAATATGCTTGGCCTTTTGTCCTAATTTGGTAAAAGAATGCATTTCTTAGATTTTGGTATGTCCCCAGCTGCCGGTATATAAAAAATAAACCGCAAGAGGGCTCGAGGAGCTTCTCCCTCCGGCTGGAGTTGTGTCTTTGTCTGTCTTTTGTGTGTCTTGTCTTTGTGTCATTTCGTCCGCTACACTGTTTCAGATTCTGTCTCTCCCTCTCTCTCTGACTCTCCCCTGCTCTTGCTGTCTGTCTCTCTCTCTCAGAAATAAATAAAAAACATTTTAAAAAATTTAAAAAAAGAAGTCGTTTGATTAGTAATTCAATTTTGTTTCTTATAATGGATCTATTTACATTTTCTATTACTTCTTGATCTACCCGTGGCAGATTATAGTTTCTAAAGATTTTACCTATTTCTTCTAGCTTATACAGTTTGTTGGCAAACAATTTCTCATGCTAATCTACTCTAACCCATTGTATTTCTGTGGCGTTGATTGCAAGTTTTCTAATTTCATTAGTTTCATTTCTAATTTTGAGACTTTTCTCTTGTTTCCTTGATTACTTTCACCAGATTTTGTCAATTTTATCTTTTCAAAGAACCAGCTCTTCTTCCGTTGATCTATTCTATTTTTAAATCTCCATTTCATTATTTTCTCTTCTGTTCTCTATTATCTGGGCTTTGCTTCTTCTTTTTCTAGTTACTCTAGGTGTGAGGTTAGATTCAGATTTTTCTTGTTTCCTGAGATAGGCCTGTGTCACTATGCACTTCAGTCAGGAGGTAACTGAGCCAGCCAGGAACCACATACTTCACATCTTTTCTTGTGTATCCCTTGGGTAACCACAAGAAACAACTTTTGGGTTCACTAATTTTGAGTTTTACCTTCATACCAGTTCTGTAAGTGATTGATCTACTACCTTTACTACACGTTTGCTACTAAAAAAAATTTTTTTTAATGTTTATTTATTTTGAGAGAGAGCGCAAGCAGAGGAGGGGCAGAGAGAGAGGGAGACAGAGAACCTGAAGCAGGCTCCACGCTCTGAGTGGTCAGCACAGAGCCCAATGTGCAGCTTGAACCCAGGAACTGTGAGATCATGACCTGAGCTGAAGTTGGATGCTTAACCAACTGAGCCCCCCAGGCGCCCCTCTACCAGCAATTTTATTTTTCCTCTCATTTTTTCATGCTTCTAGTTACGGCTTTTTCTTTTCCACTTAAAGGAAGTCCTTTGTGATTTCTTGTAAAGCTGGGTTAATGATGATGAACATCTTTAATTATTGTTTCTTTGGGAAACTCTCTCTTCCAATTCTGAACGATTGACTTTGCCTGGTAGAATTTCCTTGGTCAAAGCTACTTTCTTTTGGCCCTTTGACAGTATTATGCCGCCCCCTCCCGGCCTGCCGTGTTTCTGCTGAAACCTCAGTCGACAGAAGCATGAAATTTCCCTTAGAGTTTACAGTTTGCTTTTCTCTTGCTGTTTAGGCATTATCTCCTTAGTTTTTAAGTTTTTTCCCATTTTATTGTAAGTCTTGGTGTGAACCTCCGTTGGTTCATCCTGCTTGGGCCTGCGGTCCTTCCTGGACCTGGATATCTGTTCCCATCCCCAGATTAGGCAAGTTCTCAACTTTTGTTTCTTCTAAGTTTCTGCCCCTTTCTGTCTCCTCTCCTCCTTAGACTCCTCTAATAAAATGTTATTTCCCTGGACATGGCCTGGCGCAGGGCAGTTAGTTAGATATGAGTGAGGAGGATAAAGCAGATCTGGCCACAACCTCGGAGCCATCCCTGGGGGGGGGGCGGATGGGAGGCTAACAGCTACACCTTCAGAGCCACCTCTAAGGGCTAATGAAACAGGAAAGGCCTAGCCACCAAGCTGGCTCAAAAGCCACAAAAGTGTGTGTGAGGGAGGGGGGGGATGCCTCACTGGCTCAGTCTGTTGAGCATCTGACTCTTGATTTTGGCTCAAGTCATGATATCAGGACATGGGATCAGGCCCTGCTTTGGACTCTGTGCTTAGCATACAGCCTGAGTAGGATACTCTCTATCTCTCCCTCCCTCTCTCTCTGTGCCCCTACCCTGTCTGCATACTCTCTTTCTAAATAAATAAAAAAAAAAAATCGAAAACAAAAAGCCACAATGGGACTTTCAAGAGCTGAGCCATGTGCAGAAAGAGTGCAACTTATTCTTAAGGTTACAGCAAAAGCTCATTAGAAGCTCATACACAGACAACATATAAATCTGTACAATTCTAACAGAATGCATCATGGGTAGGCACAGGCGCCCAAGTATTTTTTTTTTTTTTTAATTCTGAGAGAGAGAGAGAGAGAGAGACGGAGGGAGGGACAGCGTGAGCACAGGAGAATCAGAGAGAGAGGGAGACAAAGAATTCGAAGGAGGCTCCAGGCTCTGAGCTAGCGGTCAGCACAGAGCCCGGATGTGGGGCTCGAACCCACAGACCGTGAGATCATGACCTGAGCTGAAGTTTACGCTTAACCGACTGAGCCACCCAGGCGCCTGGAAGCCCAAGTATTCTACAACCGCTATTCTGTCAATCAAAATGTCAACCAAAGACAAAGCGACATGCACACAAAACAGCCTTCAATGGAGGCGCCGAGAGCTTCCCGGACCCACTGCGCTCTAGCTCGAGCCACGGTCCCCTTCTCTGTGGAAAGGGCACTAACTATACATACAGACGCAAGCCGCCCAGCTCCCCATTCTGGTCTGCAGCTCTCTGGTGCATCGGAGACAAGAATCAAGCAGCCCAGGAACAACAGAGGCCCCGGAACCTGTCCCCACTTACGTGTCAGTACTGACTGCTCTTTTGCTGTTCATCCCGGCGGCTTCTCACTACCGCATCCTCCAGATGACTGGTCCCACTCTAACATCCGCTCCCCTCGTGCAGGCTCCATCCAGTATTTTTCAGGCCAGTTATGGACCCCTGAGCTGTTTTCGTTTATAGTTTCTGTCTCCTTGGTGAAGGTCTCACTGTGTTCCTCCACTCTTCTCTCAAGTCTGGTAGGATCTGCAGGCCATGACTTTGAACTCTTGTCTCTGTTAGGTCGCTTATCTCCCCATCATGTGACTCATTTTCACTGGTTTTCTCGTTGTTTTCTCTGCAGCATACTTGTTTGTCTCCTCCCTGTGTTGGCATGTAGCAACGCGGCGACATTTCTTGGTCTTTAAACTAGTGGCCTTGGAGCGCCTGGTGGCTCGCTCAGGTGGCAGCACTCGACTCTGCGTTTCGGCTCAGGACATGATCTGAGCTTCTGAGCAGCAGCCCGTGTCGGGCTCTGTACTGATGGCACGGAGCCTGCTTGGGATTCTCTCTCTCCCCCTCCCCCACGCTCATGCACAGCATCCACACGCAGACTCTCTCTCCCTCCCAAAACAACTTTTTTAAAAAAGGATAATACACAACCAATTTAATACATAAAACTATGTTTTCATGGAAAAGCTGTGTGACTCCAGGCAGGTTTCATGAGGCTTGGACCATGTCTGTCTGTCCTCCAACGTACTCCCGTTCCTCGGCCCCAGTAAAATCAGACAATTTTAAGAAACATGTCTTCCCTACAAGACCAGTGAAGGGACGGGGCCATCCTTACCCACAGCAGACAGGTTCCTGCACGTCTCCAGCATCACATCTCTGTAGAGCTTCCTCTGACCTCGATCCAGCAAAGCCCACTCGTCTGGGGTGAAGTTCACAGCCACATCCTCAAAGACCACAGAGGCCTGAAACATACCACACACTCCATTGCTGCAAAGCTCCATCCTCACCCGTGTGTGTGGGAGGATGAAGGGTGACAGGCAGGGAGCTGCCCTCCATTCCTAGGACCCGAGTCACACGTGAGTAGAGAGTGACAACACGCAAGCAGGTCCCCTGCAGTGCGCACAGGACAGGAAAGGCTGGAACGTGAAGCGCAGTGTGATGACAGCAGCTGACATAGACTCACACACGCCCAGTTTCCTGGGTTATTTACAAGGAGACAGGTGTGAGTGGACACTACTGTACAGACTGAACATGACACATTCATGCGACCAACACAGAAATCGGAGGACACACGTCTGTCTTGCTCAAAGATGATCCTGCCCCGTCAGCTCCAAGAACCGGGACCAGAATGTCAGGACACTGCAGACACTTAGCTCCCAGCAGCTCTCGCCCTGGAAGGAACAAGGTCAAGGAGCCTGGGGGAGCCCCCTCTCTTCCGACAGAAATATACGACCCTTGGGGCGCCTGGGTGCCTAGGTCGGTTAAGCGTCCGACTTTTGGTTAGGTCATGATCTCGCGGTTCGTGGGTTCGAGCCCCACGTCGGGCTCTGTGCTGACAGCCAACTCAGAGCCTGGAGCCTGTTTCAGTCTGTGACTCCCTCTCTCTCTGACCCTCCCCTGCTCACGCTGTCTCTCTCTCTCTCTCTCCTAGAAATAAATAAAACATTAAAAAAAAAAAAAAAGAAACATACGACCCTTTCCACGGGTTAGGTGGACTCTGGGCACAGTCACAGGCCAGGGCGCCTGGCACACCTGGTGTGTAAGATGAGTTCTGGTTGCTGAAGAAACTCAGGTGTAAGCAGGGCCTCTCAAACATTTAACCCAGGGCTCAGAATTCAAGAAAAAGGGCACCAGAAGGAAGAGTCCCTAGGGATTGATGGGGACAGAGCCACCGGTCACTTTAACAGAGAAGGAAACATCACAGTGAATGGGCCACGTTGAGGCAACACACCTGAGCAATGGAAGGACACGGAGCAAAGCAAAGGGCCCAGTGAGCACACAGCTGAATGCACACAGGCTCCTAAGGGACCTGCCTCGACCAGGCCACAGGCCCTAACTGACCCCTGGGTACTTACAACCAGGCGCAGGTCCAACACGGGGCACATCCCGAAGGTCCCCACACTCCCTCTCGCCCCCCATAACCACAGCCCCCCAGCACCACCTCCCGGCAGAAGGTCTC